CGTCTGATGCGCCTACGTACAAAAATGAAAATTGCGTCACACATGTTACATATCGTCGCAAGCGTCGGCATGAGAGCAATCATTCTAGGCCCATCAATCACTGTTAACACTAAACTGATGAGCAGCAAAAGCGTCCCCTACTGGAAGTTTTGGTTATTGTCGTTTTTTTGCGGTTTCACAGATGCACACAGTTTTAAGGCTTGACATGTTTTGTATCTATTTATCCCGCGGGACCCCATCTTTTATATTTTACCAAAAAATTGGGTATTATATTCTGTTTCTGTGCACTAATTTCATTTCATTTGATAAACATTTGCGCAAATACCGTGCGACACAAAAAATTGCAACTAGCAACATTTTATTCTACATGGCCTCTGCTTTCAGAAAATATATCATTGTTTGGGGGTCTGAAGCTGTTGCTAGCCAGAAATTCAGATTTGATCATGTGTGTGCAAATGTAAGAAATTGTTCCGGGCAGCAAGTTGTTAAACAGTGAGGTCATTATTTATTAAGGGATAGTCCGTGAACTTTCTTTTCTTCTGAAATAATGACATCTAGTGGTTGCTCAAGTCTTCCATTCAGTTTCGATTGTCATAAAGTTCCCTTATACCCAATGATGACATCTAGTGGTTAATTAAGAGCATTACTAAGTCCATTTGAATACATTATTGGAGATAGGACTGTAAAGGAAGCAAGGAATGGATTCAGCATGTATGCCGTCCCTTGAAAAAGTCTACTGAGGAAATGCCACTTTTGTTCCCCATGGTCCCGATGTGTTGTAGTAGAGTAGTCACCACTCCAAGCTCCCTCCCGTGATGGACTACAATCTTACATTTACTTTTCTAAATTGTATTGAGATTGTAGTCCAGCATGGGTGTGAGGTAGAAGCAGTGACTACTTTACAACACACACAGGGACCATGGGGAACAAAAGTAGCCCCCCTCCAGAAGGCAGGACAGTGTCAGCACCAAATCAGAGATAAGTTGGAGGATCTACAGCTGAGTGATACACAAAATAAGATACCGTATATACTCGAGTATAAGCCGTCCCGAATATAAGCCGAGGGCGGGAAATGAGGCAGCTAATGGTAGATAGATACCAATAAAATTACATGAATATTTATTTAAAAGAAAAATAACCTAGCTCTGTAAGTGGAAAAGGGGGTACAGGGCTACATATCATGTACTACGGATCATTTAACCCATTCATGTTAGCAGAGGATCATTGTAAATGTATTGTCTGCACTGTATTAGCAGTATATACTCTATATAGAGTATATACTGCTAATACAGTGCAGACAATACATTTACAATGATCCTCTGCTAACATGAATGGGTTAAATGATCCATAGTACAGGGCTACATATCATGTACTACGGATCATTTAACCCATTCATGTTAGCAGAGGATCATTGTAAATGTATTGTCTGCACTGTATTAGCAGTATATACTCTATATAGAGTATATACTGCTAATACAGTGCAGACAATACATTTACAATGATCCTCTGCTAACATGAATGGGTTAAATGATCCATAGTACAGGGCTACATATCATGTACTACGGATCATTTAACCCATTCATGTTAGCAGAGGATCATTGTAAATGTATTGTCTGCACTGTATTAGCAGTATATACTCTATATAGAGTATATACTGCTAATACAGTGCAGACAATACATTTACAATGATCCTCTGCTAACATGAATGGGTTAAATGATCCATAGTACAGGGCTACATATCATGTACTACGGATCATTTAACCCATTCATGTTAGCAGAGGATCATTGTAAATGTATTGTCTGCACTGTATTAGCAGTATATACTCTATATAGAGTATATACTGCTAATACAGTGCAGACAATACATTTACAATTATACTAACATGAATGGATTAAATGATCTGTATGTAGCCCTGTACCCCCTTTTCCACTTACAGAGCTAGGTTATTTTTCTTTTAAATAAATATTCATGTAATTTTATTGGTATCTATCTACCATTAGCTGCCTCATTTCCCACCCTCGGCTTATATTCGGGACGGCTTATCCTCGAGTATATACGGTACATTTTTATTAAAAGTTAAGGTACTTGAATGCATTTTTAAGATTTAACTACTGGGTTTAGGGTCACTTTAAATGTATATAATACACACAGTGTCCACAACTGTTTGAAGAGCATTATCTAAGTAAGTAAGTAACCAATCAAATAAAACTGCTGAAAAGCATAGTCTCTCAAGGTCTGCTTAAGAGGTATATTCATAGAGAAAATTGTAATCTAAATCTGCTGCAACCAAAAGGAAGCATGTCCTCAGTGTTTCCTTTTCCCAGTGATCAGTTCAGTTTTCTGGCAAGTTGCAAAGTGACAGAAAGCATGGAGATAGCACGAAACTGTAATAGAGTTTACATTGGTAGGTCGCAGAGAAAGAGGAAGATCCATTGAGAGCGTGATGGTTATTACACTAGCAGGTCACAGTGTCAACAGATGGAATGAGCTGTGTTGAGCATGAAAAAACAAAAAAGGCTACTAGACAGGCACCTAAATGTATATAATTGTGTCATCACTGGACCAGCATTATAGTCTCAGAAGTATATGATGACCTAGTCTTGTCTGAAGAAAAAAGAGCCAGGCTTCTAGGGAGAAAGAAAGATGAAGGCATTTGTCAGAGGACATACTGATATCTCTGAAATATTGTACAGCATGCATGTACTAAGCTTGAAAAACTATATCTGTAACTAGAACCATTTTAAAATGTATCACTCCTCTGACATTGTCCTATCTTTACATCCTACATCCCACTAAGGCTAGCCATACACCAGTAGCATTTTGTTTGAATACATTTGTTTTCAGAATTTTCATACTATGTTCTAAAAGTTAATGGAGTAAAAAAATGGGGTCAGTTACGAAAAGGGAGGGAGCAGGACGGAACATTTTTCTTGAGCAAACTAAATTCTAACATTTCTAACTGTTGCTTCATGAAACTCCATTCGTTTCTAAAATAGAATATTAAAACCAAACGAAATTTCGAACAACATTCGCCAAGTCTCTGATGGCATTATCCAATGTTCTGGCGAGATTTTTCGTACACTTGTACAAAAATCTACCAGTGTATGACCAGCTTTAGAGGGACAAAAATTTACATATATAATTCTTTTTATGAAAATTGTTCTGTACTTACAGTAAGGTAAAATTGTTCCTCCTCCAAGTAGACATGTAAGCCGGCAAAAAATGTGTTTAGTTTTGTTTTGGATGTTTTGTTTTTTCGTTTTTTGGGATTCGGATCTGAAAGTCAATTTGTTTCGGCATTTGCATTCGGATGAAATTTAATTTTCATTAATTGTGGATGCGTTAATTGATAATTATGAATGAAAATTAATTGCAGAAAAGTGACATTAAACATTCACTTTGCTTCTTTTTAACTTTTGACACTCCACGGAAACCAAAAGAAACAGCATGCGGTTCCCCCGGAAATTTATACCAGACCCTTTAGGTCTGATAGGAATTTTAAGGGAGACCCCCAAGGCCAAAAAACAAACCATTGGGTCCCCCCTAAAGTTCCATACCAGACCCTTAATCCGGACAGCAGCCTGGTAGGGCACCATGCCATCAGGCTACCTGCCTGATGCCAGTCACAGAGGAGAGGACCCGAGAGAGAACTTTCTCTCTCAGGTCTGCTTCTCTGCTGATTGACAGGAGGCAGTGGGCGGAGCAATAGCCTGCCTGCTATTGCAATTTAAAACAGCCAATAGCAGAAAAGCTATTGCTCACGGAGAAGAGCAGACCTCTCTCAGGTCCGCTCCTCTGTGACTGGCACCAGGCAGTGGGTGGGTGCATTAGCCAGCCTGCTATTGGCTATTTCAATGTTAAATAGCCAATGGAATGCTTTGTTTATTTCTGCCTGCTGCCCGATGTAAACATTGCAGCAGGGAGTCAGCAGGTGTTAGGCTAATGCTGGATTGACTTCATGTGACATTTTTCTTCTTTTTTTTTTTAATAAAGGAGATGTCAAAAACTTGTGTTGTTTTTTGTTCAATTAAAGGAGTTTTTCTAAGGTGGGGTGTGCTTATTTACATTTTATTTAACTCTTTAGTGAATGACTAGGTGTACAACTACTCCTTACTCATTCACAAGGGGGGAGCGGCATCTGGGTGGCCCCTTTATGAAAGGGGATACCCAGATGAGTCCCCTGCCTGCAGACCCCCACAACCACCGTGCCAGGGTTGTGGGTAAGAGGCCCTTGCCCCCATCAGCATGGACCCCTGGAAAAGCACCCTCCCAACACTGAGGGCATGTAGCCTGCTATGGTAGAGGGATTGGGGGCGCCCGCTCGCCCCCCCTTTCCTGTCCTGCCAGTCTGATGCCCTGATTAAGGGTCTGATATGGTATTTTAGGGGGGACCCAACTTTGTTTTTCATTTTTTGGTGTTGGGGTTCTCCCTTAAAATTCATACCTGACATAAAGGATCTGGTATGAATTGCCAGGGGAACTGCATGCTTTGGTTTTTTTTACATCAGGGCCCCCCCCTAACATTCCTACCAGACCTAAGGGATCTGGTAGGAATTGTGAAGACCCCATGCTGATTTTGTTATTATTTCTGTGAACAGTTAAACACTTTTGTGTATTCTGTGACAGCTGCCAGATTCTTTGTTTACATTCGGGATCAGAGTGTCAGCATAGAAGCAGAAGCTATTACAGAATAACATTTTTAAAATGTTTAACATTTCATAACAATATTCTGTTACTTTGTTTTTATTCAGGATAAAAGTCCAGAATGTCAACAAAAAGCAGAAAGGCCGAGAGCTGTAAAGGACAGCTCTCCGGCTTGTTTCACTCCTAATTACTTTTGTATGTATCCGTGTTTCATACATATTTGTATGTATATGTATTTCATACATATTTTGCATGAAATTTCATTATCAAATATTTGGATTTGTTCGGATTCATTATTTCTGTCAGTCAGAAATTCGGATGCATCCAAATGTCAGAATTTACAGAAATTTGTACAAATTTCAATTCGGAATGTCTACCTCCAAGCACATCAGCTGTAACACTTATGTCAGGCAACTTTATTATTAATTTACTTAGTACTTTGCTTTCCTGTTCTGGCTTATTGATCTATCAGAAGAAGACAGAACTTGTATAGCCTTCTTATCTAAAGTTATATCTTTAAACTAATACATATTTAGTTGATAAAGACAATGTTATTTAGCTAATTTTAAACAGTTATTATTGCCAGGAGGGAGAATAAATGACATGTTGTTTTCAGTTTCATTGCTCTAATATTAGGGAAATCATATTTAAGCTTATCCCCATTTAAAGACAACTAACCTAATTTGTAGCATGCAAAATGTGAATTAAATAATGTTGCTGCTTTTCTCTGGATCTAATTAATGGGTTCATTTTTTCTCCTCAATAGAAAACAAAGACCAATTCATTTAAGCTTTGATATAGATGCATTTGATCCATCCTTGGCGGCATCTACTGGAACACCAGTAATTGGAGGATTAACTTATAGGGAGGGAATCTATATTACAGAAGAAATACACAATACAGGTAAGTCTCAATAAATTAAACTTGTAAATAAAAAAGCACGCTATGTGCAACAGCTGACATGTGTAATAGATGAACATGTCTGGCGTGTATGTATTTGTTTTTATACATGTATTATCCTTGATTTTGCAAAAATTCTCACATATACTGTATATACACACAGATCAGCCATAACATTATGGCCACTGAGAAGTGAAGTGAATAACAGTGATTATCTGGTTACAATGGCACCTGGAAGTGGGTGGTATATATTAAGCAGCAAGTGGACATTTTGTTTCTGAAGTTGATGTGTTGGAAAGCAGAAAAAGTGGGCAGATGTAAGGATTGGAATGACAAGGGCCAAATTGATATGGCTAGGAGACAGGGTCTGAGCAACTCCAAAACTGCAGGTCTTGTCGGATGTTCCCAGTCTGCAGTGGTCAGGACCTACCAAAAGTGGTTCGAGGAAGTAAAACTGGTGAACCAGACGACAGGGTCATGGGCGGCCAAGTCTCATTGATGAACATGGGGAGTTAAGACTGGCCTGTGTAGTCCAATCCAATAGAAGAGCTACTGTAGCTTAAATTGCTGAAAAGGGTATTGCTGGTTCTGATAGAAAGTTGTCTGAACACACAGCGCATCGCAGTTTGTTGCACATGGGTCTGCGTTGCCATAGACCAGTCGGGGTGCCCATTCTGACCCTTGTCCACGGCCAAAAGTGCCTACAATGGGCATGTGAGCATCAGCACTGGACCACAGAGCAAGGAAAGAAGATGGCAGTAACCCGCTATATGCTGACTTTGGGTCACAGGAGTAGATTTGTAAATGTAATCCTGTGACCCAAAAGAGAAGCAAAGCCAAAAAAAAATATAGGGCTTCCTTTTTTTAAAAAAAACATGTATTAACTGTATTGAAATCTAGATTACCCAAATCATTTTCTCTAAATATCTTATGTATAAGAAACCTAAATAAGTAAAACCAGATGAACAGTCAGAAATGTGTCAGGAAAGGCACAATCAGTACAATACTGACACAAGTACTGTACTATCAGAGGCAGAAATATATCCCCAGAGACAATTGCTACCATAATGACAGAGCCGGAAATATGTGTACAAAAGACACAATCACTACTGTGTTGACAAGATCAGAAACCTCTCTGCAGTTACACAATCAGTACTGTACTAACAGAGCCAGAAACATGTTTTGTAAAGTGACTGCATTTGTAGATGACTATAGGAGTTTTGTGGATTGAGTATACAATAGTACATAGGGCCTTGTTTGTTATCTCATGGAGACCTTTTCACCACCTACATGCTGCCAGTCTTTGCTGTATTCAAAAGATGACACTGCCTGAAAAAACTCTTGCATCTGACACTTCCAGTTGTCTCTTGGATGCCTTTGTCAGCTTCTGACTGCTGTGGTTCCATTTATCGACTGCTACATCACTATAGCACACAGTCACATTGTTCAAACAGCGATAGTTCTTGAATACAGTGAAAACCAGTGGCGTTGTCAGCAGGACAGGTAAAAATGAAAAGCCTTCTTTGCCATTTAGGTTTTTTTTTTTGTAAGGTCAGGTAAAGAGGCTATAATTGAGGCTTGAATAAAGTTTTTTTGCTTTTTAACTCTTAAGATCAGTTTCCTATAGATCCATTCATGTACGTGAATCACTGACAAATATACATGCACAATCTACTAGTTACAAAGCAACACATTTTATTCAAACACACAACAGATATATAATAGAAGGCTACTATTTTTAATGTATAATGTATACTGCTGTATACCCAGCAGAATGAGTCCAGTTTGTCCATACTATAACTCTCTCACCTTTTATCTATCATTGAAGGCAGCAAGCAGGAGCTATCTCCTAGTGCCACAAGCCTAAATTTCAAAGTTACCATTTGCCTGGCCACCCTCTGCGCACTCTGCTCCACCACCCCAAAAACACAGCATACAATAGATGTAGTATGCATGCTGAGGGGGGGTCTGGGAGTTTCAATCTACTTCCTTTCAAGTTTTGGATAGGAAGGGGAAGGGCTGAACTCCTCACCCATCCTACATACTCCCTTCCACCTTTTCAACAACACAACCCACAATGAAAATTATGTATCCTAAGTGTAAGATTAAGGATTAAGTTCGGGGTTGGCAGGTCTAGTCGTAGCTGGCACCTCTGCAGAAGTTGCTGATGATATCCAGAGCATTATTAGACAGACCAGGTGCTGCCCCCAGCAGCCATAGTTCACTAGGCCATGGCCTAGTGGCAAATCTGTTCCAGAGTATAAACTTGCTCACCAATACAGTAACATGCTTATTGTAGTCTCATATTTGCCCTGTTTATCACAAAACCAAAACATTTTTCTGGGCTAAAGCATATCAATTATTTACAAATTCAATTAAGACATTTTACATTTTGTGTACTGTATGTGGTTTTGTTTTTTTTACAAAAGAACACACAAATAATACTTTGAACAAACAGTATAATTGATTACATTTTTTTTTTTAAAAAGCGTTCAGAGGTCATTCTGCTCGGTGCTGGCCTCTCATATAGTGGGGACGTGCCCGACAATTCACCTTACCTAACTGTTCTTTTCCTAATGTTTTGTTGGTTTTTCCTGTTAACCATAAAATGGCGGGGCCGAGAACGATACCCAGACCTAACTTGACAATTTGTTTGGATGTATCTATTATATACTTCAAAGTCTGATACGTATGTATTGTGCAAGATTGTGTGGCCTACGCATCCTTTTTCACTGTACCCCTCCCTTTTTGTCCACAAATAAAGAATTTGAAAAGAAAAAAAAGCTTGGTGAACAGCTGGTTGTAGTCAACAAACATGAAAGGCTTTGATTTACAAAATAAATTACATTGCCAGGGATTTCCTGCAACTATTGTGCTTGAAAAATACATTGAAGGGAATTTATCAAAACTGGAGCAGACAAAATCTGGAGCAGCTATGCATGGCAACCAATATACTTCTCTCTTTCATTTTCAAATCTTAACTGAATACATTGAAGAGAGAAGTGTATTGGTTGCCATGCACAGCTGCTCCAGATTTTATCTGCTCCAGTTTTGATAAATTCCCCTCATTGTAATTAGTTGCTCTGAGGTCAAATATTTATTTACATTTTAAGAATCAAGAGAAACAGCCCTGGCTGCCGGTCAGTACTAAAAAAGCTGCTAATACAGCAACTCTGACCTCATATCTCGTCATCTACACACGGGGGTTGATTTACTAAAGACAAATAGGCTGTTCACTTTGCAAGGGAATGTGCACTATGCAGGGAAAGTTACCCCTTAGTTTATTGAATGCGTTGAAGTTCCTCCTAATTCCAACACCCAATCGTGTGCAAGCAAAAACACAGTTTTGTTTTATTTTCCTTGCACATGATTTGGTTTTTTGCAAAGTTAAAATTCACCACATTATCCAAGATAGGGGAAACTTACCCTGCAAAATGGAAATTCACTTGCAAAGTGTACAGCCTATTTGCCTTTAGTAAATCAAACCCATGGGCTCAGCATGGAAAAACTCTAGTATGTACAAGCTATGACCTCGATCCTTAACTGCTTATAATTATGTCCCCCACCTTTTCTTTCTAGCACCTATCTATGTATTTTGTAAATATGGTGTTAACATTAAAAAAAAAGGACTAACTGAAAGTATGCTATTTTTTTAATTTTATTATGTTGTTACTCTTTGATAGTCTATCCTTCAAGGCAGATCTCAGGCTTAGATTCACTGAACCACAGTTGGAGCAAATATTTTAATGTAAGCCACCTTACAATTTCCTGACCAACATAAAAACAGGACCCTGGAAACATAGCACTCCAAGGTGTATGCTGATATACTGATATTTCATGGTCAAAAGAGCCTTATCCTTTAAACAATATGGGGCTGTTTTAAAGGGACACTAAACTCAGGAGTTAAATATTAAGAATACATTCAAGTACTTTAACTATTATCAAAAATGTACCTTATTTGTGTATCACTCAGCTGTAGATCCTCAAATCATTTCTGAATTGTAGCTGACACTGTCCTTCCTTCTGGAGGGTGACTACTTTTGTTCCCCATGGTCCCTGTGTGGGTTCTAAAGTAGCAACTGCTCCAAGTTCGCTCCTGTGATGGACTACAATCTCATGTTTAGTTTACTAATTTGTAGGGATGCACCGATACCAATACAAGCATCACTGCTGTGCCACACTACAGAGTGTTCATGTTCTTCATAATAATAAGAAACTGACCTAAAATCATGATTTTGTATTGCTTTAGAAAAAATTTGACCTGTCCCTTTAAGAAAAAGTATCGGTAATTGGTATCGGCGAGTGCTTGAAAAAAAGTATCGGTACTCGTACTCGGCCTTAAAAAAGTGGTATCGGTGCATCCCTACTAATTAGTATTGAGATTGTAGTCTATAACACGAGCGAGCTTGGAGCGATGGCTACTTCATAACACAGACGGGGACCATGGGGACAAAAAAGTAGCCACCCTCCAGAAGGCAGGACAGTGTCGGCACCAATTCAGAGATGATTTGAAGATCTACAGCTGAGTGTTACACAAAAAAGCTACATTTGTGTTAAAAGTTAGGGTACTTGAATGCATTTTTAAGATTTAACTCCAGGGTTTAGTGTCACTTTAACCTGAAGATCTTCTGGTGTCCATCATCTTAAATGGGCTCTTATAAAATATCACAAATAGTAAGGGCCTGTTTCAATGGACTTTTGTTAGAACTGCTTCTCTCCTCACATACGTCTATGGGAATGCTAAAACAGCTCAAAGCAGGTAAAATTCAAGTCAGAATGAAATAAATTGCAAGTCAAATGCATCTATCAATTAATTTTTAATAATCTCAGAAGTTTCAAACTGATGTCAAAAGCAAGCTGTATTTGTCCATTGATGCAAGACCAAAGTTTATCGTCCCAGTGCATAAAACATATAGCATGTGGTTTTTGCCTTCTAGCAGAGCTTATAAAATGTACATTGTTTGTTACATAAAATGTATATTGTATAGTTTGCCACTTTATAATGCATAAGCACTTAATGTTTTTAAATTGTGTTTCAATTACATTTTCAGGAATGCTGTCAGCCCTAGATTTGGTAGAAGTCAACCCAGCTCTTGGAGCCTCCTCTGACGAAGTGAAGGCAACAACAAACTTAGCAGTAGATGTTATTGCTTCATGTCTTGGCCAAACAAGAGAATGCACTCAAGTAATTATAGAAGAGCTCCCCACGCCTACTACAGAATTTGCAACAGAAAATGAAGAGCAAATAAGGATTTAAAAGATGAAGGCACACCTACTGCTATCATTTGAATGCAGATGGAATTGACTTTTTTGACTACTAGCTTTACATTGTTCAATAACTGTAGGAAAATAGAGACTGCATAAGAGACGAGAGCCAATACACACTAATAGCTTTTTAGAACAACCAAGTAAAGACAATTTTCCCTCTAATTGTACACATTTGACTTGTAGTTGAGCTTATACAACTATCTAGTTTGTTTTTAAATGCCTGTATTTTTTTGAGAAAAATATACTTGCTCCTTGTTTTTTAGCTGCTAGGTTTGATCTTTACCAGTTGTATTATGTTGTACAATGAATTGACTACATTTTATATAAACTTTTTGTCTCTCATGTATTAAAAATGTTTACACATGGCATAAAGTGGACTTTTACCCCTTTTCACAAAAAGCTCTGCATGCTGATATAAAATAACTTTACATCCATTAGTTAAACAAATATATTTTCTTGTTAGCTCCACGGCAGCGCATTTATGGGTTAATCCCTCCCTCCTCCTACCAATCAGTATCATATTTCAAAAATTGCTCTAGCATGTTGTTCCTCAGTTTTCTTCCGTCTAAGGAATATGTAGAGCAGTGTGCTCACCTTGCAAGAGTAAAGCCCTTACTGTTATCCCTTTGATTTATCATTAAGTGCAGTCCCTTCAGGCCTTTCTAAATTATTAGGTTACTGGGAGCCCTGCTACTTGTTCTCGGGGTGTGTACTTTGCTGTATGGCTCACAGTGTGGGGGAGCTGGCTTTGTTACAGGCTGATGTGCGGTACTGGAAGCATGTGTGTGGCTAATGTCACTTCCCGCCCCTGGAGTGCAGAAGGGTCAGAATCCTTAGGTGCGCTTTGCACATGCGCAGTACTTACAGATAAAAGGCCTGTTGACAGATGGCAGATCCGCTGTATTCAATAGGGTAATGTTCTGCCCAGCAGTAAGCAGAAGGGTGTGATGTTGCAAATATGATTAACTTTTCTTTTCTAGTATACCTTCGGATAAGCTGACTTCCCCAAAAGACCAGTATTCACAGAGAAGGTAGGCGGTGGCTCACTGCTAAAGGCTAGCGCTTGTCATGCCTGTGCTTATGTTTGTTATAGTTCGTCCAGATCAGCATCTCATCCTTCAAGAGACAGTCGGGGATCTTCATCTTCGGCCAGACAAAGTTCTCCACCTATGGACAGATATTTCTCTTGGCACCATGACAGAAAAGCAGAATAGGTCTTCCTCTAAACCAACAGTTCCCTTCAAGATTCTCTGAGCCTCATCATCACCTGCAACCTCAACCTGGTGGATGTTGGGCATGTCCCAATGTAGCATTGCTAGGTAAAACCCTGTGTAAAAGTTGCTTCATTGAGGCACAGAGAGATTATGAAGCAGAACTTTTTCAGTATTTGACGATGATAAAGAAAGTGTTTCAAGATACACTTAATGCACATCATGCAGTGTCAAGAAAGGGGTCCTTTTCTTTTATGTGAAAAATGTGTTGGCTCAGGGTGCAGTAGTGGCAGCAAAACACCATGATTGTTTTTCTGGAATGTACTTACCTCTCTTTCTAGTCCAAAAAAGAACGGGATTGGAAGCCAGTAATAGATTTAAAATGCCTCAACAGATATACAGTATAAAGAAAGAACGCTTCATAATGGAATCTTTACAAACAATCCTGAAAGTTATCCAGCTGGCAGACTGACTTCTTTCCATCACCTTGAAAATAAGGGTTACCTATGTAACACCTATTTTCACATTCCAGTACATGTGAATTTTCATAAGTTCCTAGGTTTTTCTCTTGCCCAACTGCCCTTTCAATTCATCTGCCTGCCTTTTAGACTTACCACATCAGCAAGGGTCTTCACCAAAGTTCTTCTAGCTCTTGTCGCCTTGTCCTGAGAAAAAGAGGTGCGTATTTATCACGTATTTATCTCAATGATATGCTACTGTTACATCAAAGCCAAGATATATTATGGGTCCACCTCGCACTGGTAATCTCAACACCCAAGGACTTTGGGTGGATTATCAATCGAGAAAAGAGTAATCTTGCCTTGTCGCAAGATCTAGTGTATCTGGTAGCCAGGATAAATATAGTTCAGAACACAGTGGCCCTTCCGCCAAAAAGTAGTTCTGTCGTTCGACACAGGTTTTCTGCAGTTTTGATGGGAAAATTCCTTTCAGCCACACTATATCTGCAGATTGTGGGAACCATAGTAGCCACAGTACCAATGGTCAAATGGGTTAAATGGAAATCTTGCCCTTTTCAGAGTGGTTTTCTGAGGTAATGGGAAACAGTGAGCTTAGACCAGATTGAACATCTGAAGAGTCTTGGTCGGCTGCAAAAGATCTTGGGTTGGGCGCATTTTGTGTTGGTGTTATACTATTGCTTTAATTGTATGCTTACTGCTATAAATGTAAGGGGTTATGTCTGATGTATCCAATTGTTTTGAATAATTAATTAGCACAGATTACTGTCCGTGTAAAATGGATATTTACGTTGTAATGTTGGGGGCTCACAGAGCACTCGCACAGCGTTTTTCCGTTAACCAAAAGTCTTTATTTCTCTTTCAAAAGGCAGACAATCACGAAGACCAACATAGAATAGCTTGCTGCAGCTAATAACATACTGTATATGGGCTCACCAATCTAATAACATACTGTATATGGGCTCACCAATCCTCGAGTTGCCCCACACACTCACAGTGTCCCAGTCCTGTAACAGTTTTCTCTTGCTGCTCTGGCCTCAATCCTCAGGGCCACCGTCTGTTATCTCCAGACAACCTCAGTACTGTGCTAACCTGCACACTAGGTTTCACGAACCCGCAGCTCCCTGCTGCACTGGTTTCCACTCTGACTCCTGGGTGCAGTTCTCCTGACTCACAGGTGGGGCCCTGAACACATCCCAGCACACTCTTGAGGGTTGGACACAGGTGCACAATTAGGTGCTGGTCGCTACTAACCCATGGACCCAGGAATGGAGATTTCGTCCCACCCAGAGTTCTAAGAAATCTCCAGGCTCCAGGATCCCAAATATGATCCAGAAAACCTGGAAAGGACTGAAAAGCCAGTTCTTTCTTGGTACAAGTAATCTCTTCCTGGAGCAACTCAGCCCCTCTGGCTGAGAACCCTGGGTGACTTTGAGGCCACCTAACACAGTGGTATTGTCACGCAATGTCACAACGTATATGTATGTATATTATGTAATAGCCGCCCATTTCTTGTACAGGAATATTGTACTATTCTCTATATTCCACCAGAGGACAGTGTTTGACAACTATTGTACAGGAATTTCCTTTCGTTTTCCTTTTGATTGCATGTATTGACCAATATAATACAACTAGATGTTGTTCGTGGTATTCATACTCCAGTGGACAGCTCAAGAAACAGTTGCTTGAATAGAATATGTACAGTAGATTGATTGCAGCCTTCTATATTCTGTAGCTGGCGCACCTTCAACAATGGTGCCAAAAGCTCAGATATGTACATGAAATGGGCAAGGGAGGTCTGCTCAACCCTAGTCCAGCATTACGTCCCATTCATACATAGGATTACAGGTGAAACTCGAATAATTAGAATATCGTGCAAAAGTAATTGCAGTAAGTACTGCAAAAAGGGCCCAAACCAAGTACTGAGTACATATGCATGCTTGTACTTTTCAGAGGTCCGATATTGTTCTATGTACAATCCTTGTTTTATTGATTGCATGTAATATTCTACTTTTTTGAGGTTGTGGATTTGGGGTTCTTGGGGTTTTCATGAGCTGTAAGCCATAATCATCACAATTATGACAAATCACGGCATGAACTATCTTGCTTTGCATGTAATGAGTCTATCTCATATATTAGTTTCACCTTTTAAGTTACATTTAGTGAAATAAATGAACTTTGCACGATATTCTAATTATTCGAGTTTCACCTGTATATTATGCACATATATTATGCACAAATGTAGCTTTGATACAATTTGTAAACTACTTGGAATTGTTCTAGATCTCAAGATGAATGACTCCTAGCATGCATGTTGGTGTCCTAGCATGTTATATAATCCATAACGGCAAACAAAGACTGCTGTATCATTTCACATTGTTATACATTTGGTGTACAACTTATTTAAAACCATCATGGTCACTGAGATGAAAAGCTAACAGATAATGCTTCTTGAAATGGAAGGTGATTTGAGGGAGGATTTTAATCTATTATTCAAATACAGTATTACCAAAATTCAGGTGTAGAGGTTGATCTGCGCATCATGAAAAGTATCATTTCTGTTGCATTCTCTTCACAGCAGAATTTTCACCATTATTAGGGTGTTAAAACCCCTTTCTGTCCAGGTCATTTTCCAGTATTCAGCACCAAGGTATTTTGACTGGCATTTATTAACTCATGCAATGCTGTACCGAAATAATTTGATATCAGTTATTTGGGACAGTTCTATAGCTGCCCAAACGCTTGTGTGTAAGAGCCATTGCGGGCTGTAAAAATGTTTACCTTGTCCTTCTCGTGCGCGCGCTGGGGCATGTGAGAGCAGGAAGAAAAAACACAGTTTATTTACAGCAACTCATATCCAAAAGCATGCTCTCCTGACGCCCGGGACATGAAGTTCCGGGCGCCAGGCAGGTATTTGTTTTGTACATTTAGCCCTGCTTTTGGGCAAGCAGAACTAAATGTACAGTGCAGTCTGCTTGTGCGTCCTCCCCCAAACCCTCCATGCCCCGCCACGCTGCCGGCTACCTCTCTCCCTGGCTGGAGAACCTCTCTTCAGTACGAAGAGCGGGGAGCAGGAGTGGAGAGCGTCCGTTCTCCGCTCTGCTCCGTGTAAACAATGGGAGGGGAGAGCTGCACTCGCAGCCTTCACCTCTCAGCTGTCAAAGGAGTTCCAGCACAGTACTGTGCTAGAACTTCTGTATTGGAGGTAACATGTTCAGAAAAAAGAACCTGTCACCTCCAAATGCTATCACACAAGGGCTTATAAGTGAAAAAAAATTTGAAAAGTTAAAAAAATAAGATAAATAAATTATAAAAAATAAAGTTACTCCCTACAAATGTCCCGAGACGTTAGCCATCTACTTACGCATCCGCCATGATGGCCTTACAGTGCCTAACCCTTAATGTCAAGGGTTTCAACTCAACTTTAAGCGGAGTCAAGCATTCAGACAGTTCCGCTCGGGACATTTGTTCCACCTGCTGGGAGGGGC